TAGGGAAAGATACTTGCCACCAGGCCTCATGACCTGAGTTTCATCCGTAGGACTCACATGGTAAAAGGAAAAAACTGACTGACTGACTCTTGCAAATGTCCTCTGACCCCCACGTGTATACCTGCAAAATGTCCTCTGACCCCCATGTGTATACCTGCAGAATGTCCTCTGACCCCCAGGTGTATACCTGCAAAATGCAAATTAAATACATTTGAAATCGCATGTATGTGTGTGTGTGTTAAAGCTTCAATTCCCCAGCACCACCAAAAATATTCTACAGGTACACACAAAAAATATGTAAATGTATATGCACGCGTGTGACAGCTCCAGGCCAAATCACCCATTGTCTCTTCTTTTTAAAGCCGTGTGTGCACGTGCCGTGTGTGCGCGTGAATGCTTGAGTGCCTACACCTCTTACTTTACCTCTGGTCTCTATGGTTCAACCTTCTGGGGCTCCTCCACCCTGCTCTCACCGCAGCACTGTGAGTTGCTCACAGAACTGTTACATAGTTTCAAAGAGACCCCCGCCACCCCTGCCCCCTCCCACCCACCCACCCCGCCCAGGGTGCGAGAGGGACTCTAAGATGGAAGCTGCTCTGGTGGTGAGGACATGTTCTCAGTAATATACAGGGAAGTGAAGTCCCTAACCTGTTGAATGTAAGTGTTGGGGGTGGGGACGGAGAAGGAAGGAAGGGAGGGAGAAGGGAAGAAAGGCAAGCAGGAGGGATGTTTTTGAGTAGCCTCTACCTAACCAGAGGTCTAGAGGTCAGAAACAGAAACAGGAGAGGCGTCTCTGTTGACCCAGAGGAAGCAATCGCAACTGCCTTGGTGTTGGATTGCTTTGTGCTAAGTTAGGAGGTGGCCTTTGGGACCAGGCCTCTGTGGTCCAACTCTAAGAACTTGAATTGTGCCATTGAGCACTGAGGCCAGGGAGGAATAAAGGACCCCAGAAAGTGTCCTCTGGCCTGGGCTTCAGGATGTCCATCATGCACTGCCAACTGTCAACTCTGGGGGACCAGTCAGAAGAAGCCAGCTTCCTGGCCAGGGGTTGGTGTGTGACTCAAATTGGGCTAACTAAGATCCTTACAGGGAAAAGCCCTAAGGCTTCTGAGGTTATTGGCTCAGCATTAGGTCCCCAGTATACACCCCAGGGCCACCGAGTCACCATATACCCTACTTACCTCCCATCTCACTAAAGCCAGAGTCCCAGAGGAAGAAGCTTTGAGAAAGAGGGCCTAGAAAACCTAGCAGACCAGACAAGGAAAGTGTCTATGGGTGCAGCCCAGCACTCCAGCCTTGCAAACACCCCTATTCTCTCCCAGGGTGAGCATACCCCAGGCTAGCCAGCACCCTGGCCATATGGCAGTCTAAGGGTCTGGGAAGCCCAAGAGAGCAAGGCCAGTGCACGGTGAACCCTGGGCCAGATCAGCCTTTCCGGGGTACATGAAATTGGTTGGGAGATAGAGGTGAGAACCGAAGACCCCAGGAAGCTCTCTTCATCGCTCTCCCATGCTCAGGGCCTAGAACCTCAGCCGGGGATGAAGCCTGGACTCACTGTCCCTCCTCCTCCTCTCCCCCCTCCTCCTCCATCCCTCCTCTCCTCCCTCTCTCCCTCCTTTCTTCCCTGTCCCTACCCCAACCCCTCCTTTCCCTCACTTTCCCCCTCCCTCCCATCTTCAAGGCTTATCCAAGTGAGCGTACTGACCGTCTCTCACCTCCCCTGCTCACTTCACCCTGTTGGCCTTGAGGCCCTGGGCAGCCAGGCCCAGACAGGGCCAGGGGGGAGGTGACTGGATGCACACCCTCTTCTCTCCAAACTGGTGCCCCAGTCCAGGGACAAACAGTGTCCCTGTTTGTCTGTCCAGTGTCTGTGTTCTCCTTCCAGGGATCCCAGCTGGCAGCTTCCTCGGAGAAGCGGAGGGGGGAAGGGGGGGGGGGACAGGACACATGCAGCTGGTGTCCTTGTCTCCCACCCTGACCCCAGTGCCACGGGGAAGAAGCAAGGACTGAGGTGAGGACAGGACCAGCTCCCACTGGCCTCTGCCAGCCCATGGCAGGGTGGTCAGGCCAAGGGTCCCCCTGGGGCTGTACTTCCATTCCCTTGGCTGCCACCAGGATGGACAGAATTCACCCGCTGACAAACGGCTGCCTCCCTGCAAAGTTTCCTGAGACGGCCAGTTCCTGCTCCACACTGCCGCTGCCTGAGCCCGAGTCTGTCTAAGGGGGCTGCAGTCAGCACTGTTCACCGAGCTGGACACCCATCCCGTACCTCCTTCTCTCCATTTCCCTGTGGCCTGTGGAAAGGTCAGCTCCACTGCAGGATTCTGCTCTGATGCAAAGAGGCATTCCCCGTCCCGTTCCACTCTGAGGAAGGTGGAAGGCTGGGTGTGAGCAGACCCAGGGGTGGGAAGTGGGGAGACTGCATTCACCACACAGAGGAGCAGTTGGCCAGGGTCTGTGACTGTCTTGCCCTAGTGACATTATGAGCTGCCTGGGTGGTCAGTCGTGGGGATCTAGGCTGGACAAACAAGGCCCTGAGTCCCAGCATGTCTGTGTCCCAATATGCCTGGGTCCCAGTGTGTCTATGTCCCAATATGCCTGTGTCCCCGTGTGCCTGTGTCCCCGTGGCCTGTGTCCCCGTGTGCCTGTGTCCCCGTGTGCCTGGGTCCCAGTGTGTCTGTGTCCCCGTGTGCCTGTGTCCCCGTGTGCCTGTGTCCCCGTGTGCCTGTGTCCCCGTGTGCCTGTGTCCCCGTGTGCCTGTGTCCCCGTGTG